CTGCAAAGACTCAACGTCAGCCAAGGCGAGTGAGAAAAGGAAGGGTGCGCCGCTCTACATTGTGTACAATTGCGCGTGTGAGTTCTGCATTGGCAATACCACAACTATATCAACAACACGCTCGGTGAGGTGAGCATCTACAACATATCATCAATACCAAACCCTCACGCACGTTGTATCCCAACGACAGCGACTAGAAAGTATTATTCTTGGACACAAATCCTACCCAGAAGAGCTAAGCTTGACACCCTGATCTGCGAAACAAATGCTTCAAAACCCTGTAGGGTTTAGGGGTAATTAGGGGTTTAGGGGTGTGGGGCCTGAGCTCCGAAATTATGCCTGTTGAAGGATGAGGTCAGGGTCGAGGCCGAGGGTCTGCCTACGGGCTGCAATTTCTTCGGCGCCTGCGGTGCCTGAGAGGCGCGGGGGCTTTGCCCGTGATTGTGTCGCCATTGCTATCAACAGCACTAACATCTGGCTTAGAGGTCCCTTCTTCTTTTGGATGTGTGATCGTCAAGCGGGCTTCGGGGTTGCAAGACGCTAGGAGGAGTGGTAGTTGGGATTGCCAGCAGCAGGAGCAGTGGCAATGGGAGTGGCAGTAGCAGTTCAAGGTGAAGTATTCGTCGTCGTCTTCGTCTTGGTCGTCGTCGTGGACACATAGAATGACGGCATGACACACCCACCCACCACACGCAAACACACCTAGCGCACACAAACAGAGACACATACAGCACACACACAATGACAGACACGCACACACAAACACATTGACATGCATGCATAAATATGTATGCACATCATATGTGCGTGCATGCGTGCGTGCGTATATACGTACATACATGCATGCCTTCTTTTGCCGCCCTGTCAGGCACGATAGTGGTCAACACGCGGCTCCGGAAGAAGATTGGAAGATCCTCCAGACCTCCAGCTGTTGGATAGCTAAGCTGTGTACAGCAAGACTCCTGTGCTCGGGGCAGATGTTCTGAGCCAGTTTTTGTTCCAAGTGTTCCCAGGCGAAGAAGTTACCTGGTATAGCCCGTTAATTCGTTGCCTTCGATTTTGCACAAGTTGCGTAGCCAGGCGCAACCTTTGGCTCCTGGGCTCCGCATCAACGATGTTTGCATCGGAGCCCAGCTTTTGCGTTGCATGATGCGAAATGACCGCCGTGAAGGGCCTAGAGAAATTCTGCGAGCGGCATTGACGAATTTTTGTGATCTTTTCACGTGATTTCGTTCTGTATTTGCTGTCCTTGCCTGTCTTTCTGTTCCACATCTTTGTATTCTGTCTGCCCTCGCCGGATTGTGCTGAACAGTAGCGGAGGTTATGACTGAGAGTCTCGTTGGACCGCCTTGAAAGAAGCATTTCGGCTTGCTTGCAATTGAAGCCTGCTGAAGCCCCTCGAGCCTTCTCGCGCTGTCTCACCATGGGTTGCAGCGGCAGCAAGATTCTAAGCTCAAAGCAGAATCTGCCGGTAGGCAAACTGCCCGGTTTGTGTTTTGGTACCCAGTCCCTGCACATCTTCCCAGCGGTTTGAGGTTTGCGGTGTCCCTTGAGTTCCTTTAAACTCTACAAGACTAACCACGCCATACTTCAAATTCACTAACCCTTACCCAAAGGCAACACGCGACCCAACTAGTTTAGACACTGGCACATCACCAAGGACCGGTGTCGTTGCGTCCTCGCAGAAGCCTGCGATGCCTGTTGCTGCCGCGGAATCCAAAGCATCCACCGAGGCCCGGATGGTAGAGACTGCAATAAAGTGATGATAAAGCGTAGATACTCTAAAGCAGTAAGTTGGACTGTAGGTTGATCGGGCAGCAGTAATGCTATTCCTTATACCAGCAGGAGTAGGCAGCGTGATATGTACAACAACAATGCCTAATGCAAGCTGCCGTAGATGCGCACGTATTGAGCAAAAAGAAGACTAGTGCAGCGTGACGGCATAGTTTGCTATAGCGCAGCATATTATATACGGTTGCAGAATTATCAATTGACTGGACGTGATCCTGACACGAATGCCAAAGATGATAGCAGCGCAGCACCGACGACAGTATCCAGAAAGCAAGAACAGCAGAAGCTAGAGCACCGCGAGCACGAGAACATGGGGTCCATGGCTGTGGAGTGCCCGAACCCACGAAGCTTAGAAACCCAAAGCCCTTAACCTTCAAGCCAAAATCTCAACCTCCACTTTAAGGCCTTGCGGTCCAAGGGATAGGATTCCGGGTCTCGGAGGTTTCCCTGAAGCTCCAAGCCCTAAACCCTAGCGTAAAAATAGCCTTAACCCTTGAACACCTAAACCCTAAAGCCTCAACACTCAAAGCATGTCTCAGTGACTGGGGGCCTTCGGATCCCGGTAGGCTCCTACCGCGGAAGACCGAGTGGAAGAGGCCTTCACCGAGGCGACCGGGCTTGCTACGTAAATACTACTACTACGACGACGACGACGACTACTACTACTACAACTACTGCTACTGCTACTGCTACTGCTACTGCTACTACTACTACTACTACTACTACCACTACCACTACCACCACCACCACTACCAATAATAAGAACAAAGTGACAAGAGTGATAATGAGTGAGCCTACTTGGAGGTTCATGGATAGTTATAAGTGGGGTCACAAGTCCTTTAATATGGAATAGAATCGTAGCTATCCTTTACAACACTACTTATAACTTATGACTAACCATGAACCTCCAAGTAAGCCTGAGTAGTTACCAAAGACTATTCCTCAGGGTTCCTACAAAAAGTATAGTGGAATTTCTATGCCCCATAGCCCTGTTCTGATTATTGAGGTTCCGATAAAAGTGTGAGCAACTCGTACGGATTTGGGGTTTACAGGTTTGTGCGATGGTTCAAGGTATTTTGGGATTTAACGTTCAGGGTCCATGTTTTTGAGGGTGCAATGGGTACTGTGGAGATGTTTGGGCAAGGGGGCATGAATAAGGGCCGTCTGCACACCATGACCACGGTTGTCATGCGCATGCATGCTGATCACGGTGCTGACAGGAGTCATGTTCCTAGGCTTGTGGAACCCGTGACAAGTCAGTGGTCATGCATGCAGTGATGCCTACCGTGCTGACGTGATGACTGCTTGTATTGCAATCATCGCTGAAACCGAAACACTGATTCTCATATTCGGCAACTGTTGACATTTTCATCTGTTCTTATGTTCTATGCAATGGGCAACCCAGGCCTCGCAGAAGCCTGGAAACCGGAGAACCAAGTGCTCCTCTCCTAATGACGGGCAGACCTCAAATCACTATAAGAGGCGCTGTGTAGTTTCACCTGCACTGCACTTCTTAATTGCGACGAGAATCCAACCCTGAACCCAAAAGAAAGCGGCAAAGAAGTTTCCCTAGTGAGTCTTACTCAGACCGAAAGACTCAGAAGATCTGAGCACCACACATTTCTTCCCAGAACTCTCTCTTTCGGCCCTGGTGGCAAGTTGCATGCTTTCACAGATGTAATATGGAGAAGCATATGGGTATTGGTATACAGTGTCTTACCTGTGTCACGCCCAGTGTAAGTAGTTTCAACATGTTCATTCCAACGTCAAGCCAGGTTTCTGTGCTCGGACGTTAGCCTGCACGTGAGAAGAGCTGATGTGTACAAAATGCTGAACATTAATTGTCTTTTTTGTCAAATCTGTTTACCTTTGGGCACTTAGGCAGCTGAACAAGCCGCGACTAGTGCTAGCCCTCTTTAAACATTCGTGGTCTCGGGCAGTTGCTTGATGTAAGCATCCCCAAACGTAGCCAGTGTGAGCCTTACAGGAAGGCGGCACATTGTCGATTTTTCGTCGATCTGGGTGCTACAGCACCACCTTGAAACTATGCCTTTACACTATGCCGCGTTACCATGTCATGCTGGTTGTGGTGATTGTGCGAGGAGTTTTTTCTTCGGAGGGGAGTCCGCGGGGGTGTTGTTGTTGTTGTTGGCATTGTTGTCTTCGTTGCTACTGTTCTCGCCTCCTGTTTAGTGCTTCTGTTGTTTTGGATTTCAGCTGTTACCTGTGATGTCAATAGTCTCGTCTTGTCTATGTTGATCTTCTGCTTTGTGCGTTTGATTGAATCCCGCGACAGGCAAGGGACTCTGCGGTCGTGGCTGAAGCCGAGGCAGCAGCTGTGGGGCAGGTTGAAGACAAGATAAGACAAGCAGTAACCGTGGCAGTCGCAGCGGCAGGTTGACGTCGGCTGAGGAAGTGCCAGTGAGGGTGGTACTGCTACAGCAAACGTTCAGTAGTCACGGTAAGTCAAGCTACAGTAGTAGTCGTGGTCATCGTCGTCTTAGCAGTAGCAGTCGTCGTCGTGGTCGTGGTCGTCGTCGTCGTCGTCGTCGTCGGCGGCATGGCTGTCGTCCTTGCCAACAGCCAGGTCGTCATCGCAGCTGAGACGAAAGTGTAGCATCGTAGAACAGCCATAGTTGCGAAGTCAAAAGACTTGTGCCAGGGAATGGAGTGTACATGACACATGCCAAGTACAACAAACATATGCGCACACCCTTGCTGGTAGTGGAGTGTGTCCCAGATCCACGGCTGAAGTGTTGTTAGTTACACATCAGGTTTTTTGATCAGAATCATTAATTATAACGAAGTAAACATTATTTCCCAGGCAACAATGTACAAACTAAACAGACAAGGTTGCTACACTAAGCCTAGGCGGCCCAGGAAGCCTTGGAAACGGCAGTGGCAGGGGCCAAGGACTTTCGGCCGATGGTTATTATACTCATAGTCATCTTCATCGCTGCCTCAGTGGCATCCTTGTGGTAGCATCGTCGTCGTAGTAGTAGTAGT